AAAAACATCCACTTGGATACAAGGACTATGTGACAAAGCTCTCTATCAGTCCTCTGTGAAAATAGGCTCTCCGTGAAGAAAGACTGTTTCTCACTGGAAATGATTCACTGGAATCACACATCGATACAGCTATAACTTTTATTAGATTCCTTCAAAGTCTTTACTACTTACTGTATATTATATGGGTCTGGGCTTGACTGGTTGGTGGAGGCATAAGCTACAATGATGAGGCATTAATTCTAGTTTGCCACCTAATCCAGTCCAATATTTGCTCGTACTTTAGCTTTGAAGATTATCTGCCTGTTAAGCTGCTAAATGCTCCACTATAGAGGTTTTTCCATTATAGGAACCTACCGAAACGTGTCACATCAAGTCACATCATGGTTTGCGTTTGTTTCCACTACACCCAGCCCACTTTAGAGGTGCATTCTGGGAGCAAAATTTCAGCACCCCTCAGAGGGTAGTCCTAAAATCAAGTACCAGGACTGCGCGGGGGGAGGGGTGTGCACGCAGAGCAGCCGCTGGTGATTGGTTAAGTGTTCACATCTTCGTACCTCAGTCATTAGCATTACAAGCACCTTGTGTAAACACACAGCTGACTGCATGTATTAGAAAGCAGCAGCCCCTCACTCCTCTAAAAAGAGACCAACAAAGAGAAAATAAAGTGTAAAAACAAAGCAGGATGGTCCGCGTCAGCCCCAGAGGCTATGCTTGGTGATGGTTAAGGGAAGTAGGGGGTGTACTGCTCATTATGTTTCAATAGTGGAAACACAGCATATGTTCACCATCTAGTCACTAGCTGTCCATTTGATGCTGAGCAGGGACTCACCAATCAATTTATGAGAGTGTTTTCAATTAACACAGTCACACTTTACTGCCAGAAATGATGTTAGTGACTGAATCAAGACAGTAAAGTGCCACAGATCATTTTCAACTGCCAGTGTAAATGAGGGAAAGTAAATGGTCTTTTGAGATTTAACTTGTTATTTATGAACATATTAGCTCATATATATCAGGTACCATCTTCTGTGAGAATGTGCACTGACTATGTTCAAATTGCACAGTTGTAAAATTTGTGCTTTTTTTTTTTTACTTTGCAGCTATAACTGCAAATCATGTACACATGGGTGGAGCCACAGGGGTGGCCAGAGGTAGGACCAGCCACCCCCAGAATCTGATTGGCTACCCCTAGTGCTACCTCTGCCAGAGTCCAAATGTGGTGCTTGTCAGTATTAATGAAAAAAAAAATCACAATGACAAAATTTTGCCCTAAATGCAACTAACATTTTTTCTGCTTTATAACTGATATTGGTCAAATTTGTTTTATTTTATATCATGCATGCAGCATGATATTTGCATCCATTTTTCTGATTGTGTTGTTGTGTAGTACTTGGCATGATTTGCCAAGTACAGGGGGAACCAATATGCAGCAGCTACAGTATGTCCTGGGCCAGGAGTAAATAGCAGCATAGCCAAAGTTAGCTAAACAATGCACAATGTGTCTCATTTTTACACAGGATAAACTATTTGATTCTTAAAAATGGTTTATTATTTCATAAAACTAGGGGTTTAATTTACTTTTTACATGTATTTCAAATGTCTCACCCCTTTCTGAATCTGTGTCCCAGCCTGACCATCCCATCCAAAATCTTTTAGATCCGCCCCTGCAAATAAGCATTACATTTGGACAAGACAAAGTACTTCATATTGTATTGTAGCCAAACGGAATCATTTCATAAGAGAAACACCAGTCTCTTATAAATGCTGTCTCACAGCTTCCACATGAGTATAGAGAGCTGGTGTGTATTTTTGGCAGCCTGGGTAATGTCTGTAGATGCCTGGTGTGGGGGTGACAGACATACCACAGATGCCAATGCCAGATTTTCTATTTATATACAAGACTTTTATGTATTATTTGAACAGAAATACAAGTAGTATGCAAGCGTGTGCGTGTTACCATAGGTTAAGAATAATGGAAGTGTCTTGTTTTCTAAGGATTTGGCAGGACATACCAATGGGCTGTGGCTCCTTAGTTGAGGGTGTCTGTTCTTTTTAAATTTATCACAGGGCAGACAGGGTCAGTAAGAGGGACAGGGTGTCACCTCAGTGGGGTGCGGCAGAGAGGACAGTGGTAAAATTCCTTGGTCACACTCCACAGTGTTTTCAGATTGAAATTGGGGTGTATGGGTGCCACAGCAGTCAGTAGACTATGTGCCGCATTTGTGATGTCCTGGGCGTCCAATATTTGACACATATCCATTTCTCCTCATCAATCATCTTTACTTCTTCAATACTAAATAAACACACCAATCATCATAATCCATGAAACAAATTAAAAACTTAAACCTGTTAAGCCAGTGGTGCCACATAAAGTCCATATGGTGCTACATTCGTAGGTTAGTGGGGACATGTGAGGAGATGAATCGTAGCCTCTGGGAGTAGACCAGGTCTGCCACATATAGTCCAAAGTTGATGAAGGAAAACACAGCCACCACAACCTTGCTGTCCCATGGACATGCCCCCCATGTACATGGTGATCGCCTCCATGGAGAGCCATATTTACTGTCAAAGCAGAACACAGGCCACACCACTGATGCGCTCAGGTAGAGTAGAACCTCTAGGAGGGTGCACACCACCACAAAGCGGTCAAAGGGCATGCAGCGCACAGCTCTGGTCTGCCCACACACGGTCATCATGACCACCACTGCAGTCAGAGCGAAGCAGAAAGCATAGACCACAGCGCAGTAGATTGTGGCAGCGTAGCGGGAATACTCGCTCCCATTAGCCAGGGCTCCAAAGATGATGCAGGCAACAAAGCCCTGAATGACTTTGAGGAGGCCGGAGACCGTGGCCATGTAGCCCACCACAGCCTGGCCTGGCCTGGCACGGCACAAAGCCACCTCAGCTCCGTAGGCCAGAGTAGCCAAGATGGAGCAGATGGTGACGGCAATGCGGAAATTTCGGACATCACAGCCTTCATAGGGGCACTCAGATCGAACAAAGAAGAGCGGGTAGACTACAGAGGCGGTCACATACCTGCAGGAGAAGACAAAAACATAGCTGTAGAAATCTCACCATCAAAACAAAAAGAAAGATACACTGGAGTGCCATAGCCACTGACTGGAATACCTTTTCGAGTATGTTTTATTTGTGTGACAATAAAGTCAAATCAAGGTCAACTTATTAATTTTGTTGGAGCTTTCAACTGCTCAGTCAGTGCATGGATAACAGGTGGTCATATACGGGGAGGAAATCATAACCCTGGTCAAAGGTTCTGACCATGTATCCCGTGACCACTTGTTCTTATGTGCCTACTGCTCCTCACTTGTGACAAAACCTGATCCAGTTACATTTGCCAGGTGAGACCATGAGACGTGGATGAAAGATCAAACTACACTGAGAGCAACATTTTAGTATTCATCTGGAGACTAGATTCTGACCACCTGGGACATTAAACTCCAGTATTCGCACTCTCATTAGCTCTATTTTGCTCTTCACCCAGATCTGGCTCTGTTGCTGCTAAATGCTCTGTGTTCTCCAGTTAGCTGATTTATCTGTCTCCTCTGGTGCTAGTTATGTAACATACAGTGGGTTTATCAGAGCATGGAAATATAAACAGTGGTGGGAGTGAACCAAAACAGTTGCAGTCTGAAAAACCAAAACAATGAGACAGGTGCAAAAGTATTCAGAGCTGAAGGAAACTGCCCACCTGAATGATAATACTGAATTGGTTACTCACTATGTGATCAACTCTTCCCAATCAAATGATGTCATTTGTTCCACTATTTTCTGGGCAGCACATAATGAAGTCGCTCCTCTTAGATAAAAAATGACAATATGGTAGTTGAAACTTTGTAACAATGTGAAAGTATTCTTTTTTTTTTTTTTTTTTTTGGAAACACTTGTAATCTGACCCTATTCAGCACTTTTCTACTTACGGTAAACAAGTCCCACTTATTTATAAAAGTAATTAAAAGTTTGTTAAGGTTTATGTTTTATATAATTCATGTTTAACTAATCTTGTGGATGGGTTGGCACAAATTTGCTTCATATGGAAAGCTGGAGGTGAAATGGGTGCCACTGTAACTTCCTTCCACTTTCTATGAACGCCACCACCACAAAGACAGTGCACCCAAATGAGCATCATGTGTTGTGACTTACAGGAGTGTGGCAAAGGCAGCACATGTGACTGTAAGGTTGTCCCATGATACAGGGAGGCAGCTGTAGAGACGAGTAGCATCCACGAAGAACACCACCACTGACACGGCGAAGCAGAAGCACCAGGCCGCCATGCAGAACACCCCCTGTGAGCCACTGTAGCCAGCGCTGTGGGTGACCATGGAAATCACAGCGCAGCCCAAAGCTAACTGACAGAGACGGGCAGCACCCAGGGGCGAGCAGAGGGCCTTGCTGTTGAGGTACGGACCAACCTGTGAATCCATGGCTGTGCGGGACGAGGATAAGTCCAGAAGGAAGTATTCTACAGTGAGATGTGAAGATCTGTTGAATATAGTTGCACAGTAGTGGATGATGTGAAGTTTAAAGTCTACTCAGTCCAAGTATTTCAGTCTTATCTTGAGTCCTGTGATGGTGTCCAGCACCGTCATACAAAAGCCAGAAATATAAATGACTGTCACAGATCTAAAAACGAATACAGTTTCTTTTCCAACATTAAATGTGTATGACAGCCCAGACACACTGCTGCGTAAAAAAAAGTGCAAACTGACAAAAGCAAATGAAAAAACAGTCACCTATTTCACAACAAATGTGAAGAAATACCATCAAATGCAGACAACACATCTAACTATAAAAACACAACCAAATACAGTAAACGACTTAGTACAGAAAACAGAAACAAATAAAGACAACTAATTGTTATTATATTTGTTTAGCTATTATTGGTGTATTTTATTATTTCGTGTTGTCCTAATAATTGTTTTTATGCTGTTGTATAGTGTGTATGCATTGTGATTTTGCGTGTCTTTGTTTATTTTGTGCATTTTCTTGAAATTTGTAAAAGCATTTTGTTTGGTTTAAGTTGTTTTTAAATGCATTCGGTAAATACACTTGCAGGCTACTGAAACGCGCTGCTAACCACAATCAAACACAGTCAAATAAGCTACAAAACGCCGCCGGGTCACCAGCAGGTATCTACAGTAATGTGTGGATCCTGAAACACTCACATGTCGGCTCGGTAGCACGGACTGCCGCTGCAACTTCATGCGTCACCATGGCAACAAGAAGCGACTCAACTCTTCTTCGTGCCTCGTGGAAACGTTTGTTTCCGCCGTGGTTTGCTTTAGCACGTTCTCACTTTGCAGCGTTATTTTTACGCATTTTTTCAAAGATGAGTTTGCGTGTGTTTTGCCTGTTTGCATGGGCTTTCTTAGTTTGCTCGCGATTTATTTGCATGTGTGTGTCTGAAGTAACAGTAGCAGGTCTTTATTTCTTAAGTTGTCTATTTTATTCCTATTTATCTCATTTCACAATGAGCATTCCTTTGTCTGCCTGCATTGTTTACTGTCTGTTTATACTACTTTTTTTGCATTGTTTGCACTGTTTGTTGTTTGTTAATACTGCTTATTTTGTTATATTACTCAGCCTTATGTTGGTTTACTGTTTACTTGCCCCTTGCATGGGGATATGTACATACACATTGAGAGCCGATGTACCAAATTCCTTGTGTGTCTGACACACCTGGCCAATAAAGCAGATTCTGATTCTGAAATATCAGTGTGGTGAGCTCTCAGGGTCACTGTACCTGTGCGCCTTTACCTCACTTCTCTCATTAAGCAGCCTCTCTCTGGTTTGGCCTCACTGTGATATTTTCAGGCACTTACACTTTTGCTTTGCATCCACTCAGATGAAGCCACAACATGATCCTGAAAAAAAATAGCAGACTCCAAAGTCAGATCCTCTGTAATGAATGTCTATGTTTTTCTGCTGAAACGGTGTTGAAACATGAATCAGGTGCAGGTTACAAAGCCACTTATCAAACACAGAGCTCGAGCAGACCCACCTGTCAGCTGAGAGATCTTTCGAGAGCCACACTCTGTTTGCCTGTGGTCCAGGAAAGACGGGTTGAAATTATCGGTCGACTGTAGTTTTGACTGACACGTATTCTCTCCTAGACAAAAACCTATTGCATGTCCAGGATGTAAAGCCACAACTAGTCATTTGAGTTGAGTCTACTTGGAAACAGCTCCTACAAATCTACAACAGAACCTGGTCCAGTCCTGAGGATCCCCTTGTGAATCTTCTTGAATCATTTATCCAGAGATGTTTGGTTTGTATGTGGTACACGCTCCCTCACATGCGATCTCTTTCTTTGCTGTCTGTCCCTGTGTGAGGAGGGGGTGCTGCCGGTCAGTAAGTTATTTAGGGTTGGGCCACTGGCACGAGTGTTGGAGGGATGTGTGCATGTGGTTGGCTGTGGAGCTGAAATATTACAGTCCATATGGAATGACATGACTGATCTGCCAAGACAAGATCAGCACCAAACATTATACTGAAGTTATTAAATTAAATAGAAATATCGAACATGAGTATCAAAGTGCCCTTAGCCGACCAGGGATTCCTTCAAACATTTATTTCACTAACAAAATCATTGTCACCCACAAAAATTATTTCTAAATTATACAACAGCATTCAGCAGAGTAAGAGGAGGAACCCATATTACATAAAAGAGAAGAAGGAGGGTTAACTATCACAGAGGAGAATTGGGAACACATATGTCAGATGCAATGGGCTTCAACGGAATCGAACATTTGGCGTGAATTTTGTTGGAAAAATATTATCAAATTTTTCATTACCCCTGCTCAAAAAAGATATCAAGGAATTGGAGATGCTTGTTGGAGATGTGGCCACAAAGGGGCGAATCACTTCCATATCTTTTGGAATTGGAAAATTGTTCACAAATACTGGTCTGAGATCCATGAACATTTACAAAACATATTTTCAGTTACCATACCATTAACATTTGAAACCATGTATCTGGGTAATATAGTAACTGATGGGTTTAATAAGAAGGACAAGAAATTACTATATATTCTGCTGGCCACGGGCAAAAAAGCTGTCACACGAAGATGGAGCAAACCTGAACAAACAACAACCGATAACTGGATGGAAATCATACAAGAGATTTATACAATGGAAAAAATGTCCCTTTCACTCAGACTGCAGGACACATTTTACCAGATATGGTTGAAATGGACGGAATATGTGAAACCTGTAAGGCCTGACTTTGTGTAAAACCACTGGGTGCCTATATAGTAGTGAAGCTACATTGACTACCTATACACAGTAAGGTACCAATAGAGAAGAGGTTCCCCTGCCCCAGTCATGTCCTTTGTTTGTTGTTGTTTTTCATTTTGTTTTTTCTGGTTTAAAAAAAAAGAAAAAAGAAAAAGTATTGTATGGTAATACATTGCAGATTGTACTCATTATGCAGCGTGCTTTTTCAATAAAAAAAGTAAATTGGAAAAAAGAAATATCAAACATTATCAACAACAACAAAAAGCAGTGGACAATAAATTGTAAGGTGTTCAGGTCCCTATACATCACATCTACTGTCAGCAGTCATTCCATCTCGATGATAAAACAAAATGTGACATGTAGTGAAGACAGGAAATAATGCCATTTTGAAATAAAAACATTTGTGGCAGAATTAAGGTTTTTCAAATATAACATAAAACCCCAATAATACCTGCTTAATATTAATACTAAGGGGGCCTAGATACAGAGAGCAGCATTATATTATTGCTTTCTTATACCTATTTGAGCAGCACAAAATTCAAGTCGTATTCCTTGCTCAGCCAAAGAATATCAGTCCTGAGATGAGAAGTAACTAAGTATATTTACTCAAGTACTGCACTTGAGTATTTTCATTGTTCACTTCATCATACTTCAACTTCACTACATTTGTGAGGTAGGTATTGTACTTTTTATTCCAATACATTAATTTTAGTTAGTTTGAATAAGTTTAGTTACTAGTTACTTCTCAGAAACAGATTAATAAAAAAAACAGCATAATCATAACACTCTATTAATCTCCTGTGAAAAATTCATAAGCTTTGCAGCAGTAATTCAGGTTAGTATTAGTTATAAATATATGCAGTAGTTAACATTAGCTCCACCAGTTGCAACACTGAATGCGATGTACACATCAATAATTATAAAGCAGTAATATGATATACATCAATGTGAAATGTGCCATTCTGCATAATGAGTTTACTTTTAGTAGTTTAAGTATGTTTTCATGCTAATACTTTTGTACTTTGTAACATTTGGAATGCAGGACTTGTGGCAGAGTATTTTTACACTGTGGGACTGCTACTTTAAACCATCTGAGTACATCTTCCCCCACTGCTCCTTACAGCTATGTGTGCTCTCGTCTGCCTCTCGAGAAATCAGTTGCTAAATGCAGCGCTGTGTTCACCACTAGTCACTAACTCTGTCCCTGCCATTTAGTGCTGGCCACGCAGGGCAGCCTGCAGGGGATTTATCAGAGCTGTTTATTTAGCGAAAACAGCTGCTGGCTGCTGCGGGAAGTAAGGAAGATGAATCAGTCTTCCAAACAGACCACAGTGCTCCACAGAGCTGAGAGCGTCACTGTGAGCAGCACACACACACACACAATATCATGCAATCAATTTTCAATATGAAAACACTGAGAGCTGTTCACTGACAGTTGAACAGCTGACTGTGATTGATCCAAAATATGAAACAAATAAATGACAGAAACTTAAAGATATGAAACATGTTTAAAAATCAATGTTTGGTGTTGTCAGACTGACATTACTGAAGCAGAGACTGCTGTGAAGAGCCTGTATTGTCTTACCATGCAATAATAACATAATGTGTGATAAAAAAAAAAAAAGTACAAACATCTTAGCCACCGGATTTCTCCTATTTGTGATCTGCAAGTCAAACCAAACCTAAGTCCCTGTTTCTGTCACTGAAAACATTTTTCAGCACTAAGAGGTCACTAATAATAAAGACACTCACATGGTTTCAGCTGTGACATTAGTTACACCTCATTCACTTTATGCGGGTGTAATTTCTGAGCAACAGGGATTATAATAGCCCATGAAAGTTACTGTCCGCCATTCTTATGAACACCAGTAGTCTCAGCAGAGCTGTACTCTGGTTGCATCACAGTCCTCGGGTCTCTGTCTCCGCCTGCAGGCGGGCAAGGGTGCCTCTGTCTCTGCTCCATGCTGATAAATGTGAAGGGTGACATGCAGCCACAAGATGTAGAAGGTCCATACTAATGGAGAAAGACATTAAGAAGAAATACTCTACATAAATAAATTTGGAAATATATAAAAAAAGGAAAAAATGAGAAAATGAAATCAGACAGTGAGTATTATTTGTAGCTGATTCTGTTTTTGTATCGTATGTTTGGGGAACTGTCATTAAAACAAATGGATGACCATTTTCATTTTTAACTATCTCTATTTTATTATTTTATTCTATTTTTATTTCCCAAACCCTAAAATTTTACTATTTTGTATTTAAGAATTTACACAACCAAGCATGTTGGTATATCAGCTACTATTCCTTTTTATAGATTTATTGATATTTTATTAATTTGTTATAGCCTATGATGTTGCTGTATACCAATGAATACGTTGTATAATTGATGATGCATTTACTGTTACACCGAATGTTGTGTACAAGTGTAACAGACTATATTTATACTATATATTATATATATATATATTATATATATTATATTATATTATACTATATATATTTACTATATATTTATTTACAGTTCATATGAAGTATAACAACAATAAAGACATCTGTACATATACTGTAAGAATAATGCAGTTCAAGAAAATATTTGTATTTCTGAGTAAAAATGGCTGATATGAAACATTTTGTGTTCTGAGAGTCACCACTGTCACTTATCACTTATCCTTGTCAGGGGACTGGTTGTGTAGGCTTCTGTACCTGTGGTCACTTCCATTTTATTGCCGTTTACCTGCACGGCACTGAGGCCAAAAACTAATGACCACTGCAAGTGTCTAAAAAAAACAACGTAGCTCATAATTATACTCCATTGCACAAAAATATAATTCGTAAAAACTGTAATACTGCATTCTTTAGGACGTATTAATGCAGTTGGAGTCATTAAACAAAACGATAAATGTACTGGGGGTGAAGAGACAAACAGGATTTGTACAGTGTATGTAAACAGCAAAACATAGAATTTTAACCTTTTCAACTTCTTCTTAAATTCTTTAGAAGATGTC